TCTTGTATTTTCTTCATGTGAAAATTAGCTCTGGAGTCCACTTTTGCTTTCTGTTTTCTAATAATTTATTGCTGTGGAAGAAGATTGCTTTTGTTGTTGTTATTGTTGTTGTTATTTACTCAGAGGCTGTTTATACCTTACCAGAGGCAACATTCTTGTCTCTGGAAGAGCTGAGGCCAGAACCTGGGATGTCTCCCAAGAGAAAGAGAGAAAATTGATTCTAACAAGGTCTCCTGGGTTCTGTGACTCCAGTGGATTACCCTCTGAAATTGTCAAATGTTGCATGTGTGCTTTTTTTTTGAGGGGGTGGAGAGATATTATTGGTTAAAGATTTAACAATATTCTCAAAAGATATTTGACCAAGAAAAGGTGATAACTGGCTCAGAAGGATGCTGCCCCAAATCCTCTCAAATGAAACAATTCTGGGATCTCATGGATAGAAAAGAGAAGATGGAAGTGAGAGGTGGGACATAGAGACTGAAAGACAAAGACTGAGAGGAGAGAATTAGAGGGAAGGTAGGCACTATGACTCAGCATCCCTCAGGACAGGCAGAGGTAAAACCCTTCTATTACTCTCAGGTTCCTTGGACCCTGTCTTAGGTCCAAACTCCGCGCACCCACCCCATACCCCTATGGTGACAGCAGTGGGTAAAAACCAGTCCTGGGCCCAAGGATTGGCCCAGTGGGAACCACATTGTCCAATGAAAGGCAAAAGCCAAACTGATCATGCATCATCAGTTACCAGGCAGGTTACTCCTAATTACACTAGGGAAAATATAGACATATTACAGTTTTCAGGTTGGATTGGTCCTAACAGTTTAGAAAAAAGAGAGTGTAATTCATGTTTGTTAATTTACTCATTTGTGGGAATATTTATTTGGTCTCCTGCAGTTAGTCTACCAAGTAAATGAGCAATAAATGAACTTTAGCTTTTTCTGGTACAGCAGTGTGACAGCTCCTTAGTCATAGATCTTTCCTTCTCTCCCCCAACATTGGCTTGGTGCCAGAGTACTTGTTTTTATCCCTTCTGTGAGAAAGAATATCTGTAAATGCTAGAAAGAGAATGGGAATGGAGAAATGGAGTTTTAATGGCTCCATCAGAGCAATAATGGGGACAAGTGGTTTCTGGGAGGAGGCCAAGAAAGCGCTAGATTGTCCAAAGGGGGAGCTTTCAAAGTGTCAGGTGTGTGTGTGTGTGTGTGTGCACATGTATGGTAGGAAATTTGAAGCTGGGTAAACTTCCTTGAGGTGGAGGAGTGGTCCCATGCTGGGGCTAAATGTATTTTGATGGGGGAAAATCAGGCTCAGGTAATGAGGATCATCTGGTTTAAAGGATATTTAAAGGTCAGGGGACCTTTGTGCCACTCCTGCTACACCCTGTGCCCATGCTAACCTGAAAGTGGAACTGGGGGTATAGCGCCCCCAGCATTAGGTGAATATGTATTCAGACTTGCAGGGAAGCACAGGTCTGATTGCTTCCAGCTGGGGACAGCAGTATACATTAGGGCACACTGGCAGTTCTAGAAAGGGAAGAGACAGGGAGCCTAGCGCCCCCAGGTTCTTGCTTGCCTTGTGCTGCGATCCCAGATCCCTCCTCCTTTTTCTTTCTTTTCTTTCATTCCTTCCTACTCTCCACTCTGGGAAAATTTCCTACAAGGCCTGGGTATGTCATCAGGTAGGTATATCTCAGTTCCTCTTTGGGTACAACCTCCACTGTCACTCATTTCTAGCAGGTGTGTCTGGTATCTGGAGGCTCCTCCTAGACCATGTCTCCATGTGCTCTGGATCTTGGGTCAGCTCTTTCCTGTTTAGTAGTTCTCCAAACATGATATTTTGAGGGAAGGAGCCAAGAGCTCAGGCTTTAAAATGGTTTCTTTTGCATCTTGGTGAGTGTATGCATGTGTGTGTGATCACCTGTGCTCATGGGAAACTGGAAGTGGACCAGGGGAAATGGGGTTAAGGTAAGCACAGACTGGAAGGGCTGTACTCTGGAGCTTTACCCCCACTCTTATAAGCTGGAAAATAGGAGACTTGATTAGGAGAAACCTCTTCCAGAGCCAGACTGTTTTCTAGTCCTTGGCCCCTATAAGGCTGTGGCCCATACTCCAGATTAGAGGAGTAGGGAGTCAGAGCGTGCTGCTTGAATAACCAACATCATTCATTATTGTGTCAGTATAGATGGAAACAAACTCAAAGTACATCTGTGGGGGCTGGCTGCATATGTGATGATACATTATGGATGTAGGTAGAATATTACTTGTCATGAAAAAATGAGAATGCTCCATATGTATGAATGTGGAAAGATTGTGCTCCTATCTATTGTGAGAATAGGTGTCTATTATGCTACCTCTTCTGGGGAAAAATAAGAATTCATATTTACTTTCTTGTACGTGCACAAGGACACTATAGAAAAAACACTCTGGTAACAAATTAAAGCTGTCATATATAGAAGACTTATACCTATTCCCAGATCAGTAACTTCACTATTGAAGCTGTCAGTTCTCAATTATTCTTTTAAAAAAATCCTTAAGTTTTATTTTTTCACTTTTTTTGAGTGTAGTTGACAGAGAATGCTTTTTAATTTCAGGTGTACAATTTAGTGATTTGACAAGTTTGTATATTATGTTATGTTCCCCATAAGCATAGCTACCATCTGTTCCCATACATTGCTATTACAATATCACTGAGTATATTCCTTACACTGTGCCTTTTATTCCCGTGATTTATTCATTTCATAACTAGAAGTCTGTATTTCTCATGCCCCTTCATCCATTTTGTTCAACCCCATGCCTCCCTCCTTTCTAGTAACTGTCAGTGTGTTCTACATATTTATAGGTTCAATTCTGCTTTTTATTTGTCCATTCATTTTTAAAAAATTCTAATTATGAGTGGAATCTGTGATATACGTTTTCCTCAGTCTGATTTATTTCACTTAGCGTAATACCATCTAGGTCTGTCCCTGTTGTCTCGAATAGTTAATTCCCCTCAATTATTCTATGGATTCAGTTCAATGCCAATTGAAACCCCAGCATGATTTATTTATTTATTTACTTATTAATTATTATTTTGAATTCATTTTATTTTTTAATTTAAATTGCAGTTAGTTAACATGTAGTGTAATATTAGTTTCAGGAATAGAATTTAGTGATCCATCACTTACTTTTTGTTTTATTAATTTTTTATTGGTGTTCAAATAACCAACATACAGAATAACACCCAGTGCTCATCCTGTCAAGTGTCCCCCTCACCCCCACCCCCCAGCCCTCCTCCCCTTCCACCACCCCTAGTTTGTTTCCCAGAGTCAGGAGTCTTTTTTTTTTTAAATAAATTAATTTTTATTGGTGTTCAATATACCAACATACAGAATAACACCCAGTGCTCATCCGGTCAAGCGCCCCCCTCAGTGCCCGTCACCCATTCACCCCCACTCCCCGCCCTCCTCCCCTTCCACCACCCCTAGTTCGTTTCCCAGAGTTAGGAGTCTTTATGTTCTGTCTCCCTTTCTGATATTTCCCACAAATTTCCTCTCCCTTCCCCTCTATTCCCTTTAACTATTATTCATATTCCCCAAATGAGTGAGAACATACACTGTTTGTCCTTCTCCGATTGACTTACTTCAATCAGCATAATACCCTCCAGTTCACACGTTGAAGCAAATGGTGGGTATTTGTCGTTTCAAATGGCTGAGTAATATTCCATTGTATACATAAACCACATCTTCTTTATCCATTCATCTTTCTTTTTTTTTTTTTTTTTCGTGATGTCTATTTATTCCCCACACGTTTTGCTTGTCACCATGGCTAGCACTCAAGTCAGGACACATCTCGCCAGACGCGTGACGGACTGCGGGTGGCGGGCAGCGGCCGTCTCCCTACTAGTTACCTACAACACACAGTACTGGATCTACCTCGCAGACGGCCGGGACCACCAGGGGACCTCCCACGAGCCAGCTGCCAACACTGGTGCCAGCAGACCTGCCCTCCCCCCATCCCGCCCCAGCAGAGGCCGTGGGGATCTCCACGGTGGCCTCGTGTCCTGGGCAGGCCGCCTGGTCACGGCTGGCAGGCCTGCCCGCCCTGGAAGCAGCTCTGGTGGCCACGTGGCAATGTCAGGCCAAGGCGGGTGGCACCAGGAGCCCCTGCCGGTCCCCCCAGCCCCAAACAGGCCGAGAGCCTGCCAAGGACCCAGACAGGCCGGCCGGCAGGATCGCCCGTGGGCCGAAGGGGGTGCGCTGGACGCCCAGCTGGGGACGGGCCCCAAGGTCGTGATCCGCCCCTTGGGGTCGGTCGGTCAGGAGTACTGGGATAAGAGGATCAGAGATGAGACGCGTGTCCATCAAAATGCTCGAATGGAAGAAGTCCCAGTACCTGGTCCCGTGCACCCCAGGATGGTCCCGCCCCTGCTCCCAACCGGGGAGCCAGGCCACGGAAATCGTCTCGTAGGAAAATGCCTCTGAAGAGCTCCTCACGCGAAAACCCGCGGTCCGAGGGGCAGGGCGGACCCTGGTGCCCAGACTGCGGCTGGCAGTGAGCTCATCCGAGCAGGGCGCGGCTGGGCAGGCCACGGTCCACGCAGAAGTGGCTTCTCACAGGGCTGCGGAGGCCCTTTGAAGACAGACCGTGGGGCTGCAGAAAGGGGCTCTGGGAGCCACGGGTGTCCCCGACGTGGCTCGACACAAAACTGGCTGCTTCCTGGAGAGTGGCTTGAGGATGACCCCCGCCTCGGAACAGTCTAGAAAATACTTTTGCTGACTGGGTTTTCGGGGGCCAGGAGAGATCAGTGCTGGTCTGCGTTCACAGCTTGCTGGCTCTGTTTCGAGAAGGGTCTGGGGGCCGTGGGAGACTACAAACGGGGAGGAGGGGGGCGGAGGGAGCAATAAAAATCCATCTTAACATGCGGGTCCAATTTCTGTTTCTGTTTCTCTCTCAGGCGGTCCAAGGGAAGAAGACGGCAAAATGCGAGACGGCTTCCAGTCGGTGGGAAGGAGCTGGCGGCACTGGGAGGGGAGGGCGGTCATTCCTGCTGGTCGTCGTTGCTGGCACTGGGGGTCCGACTTCGGATCTGACTTCGGAGCTGCTCTATCAACTCTGGGTTCTGCTGCTGCATCTGCTGGGCGAACTGCTGGCCGGCCTGGATGAGACTGGCCAGGTCGTTCTGTGAGGGGCTGGTGCCGGGAGTCCCCAGGGGGTTGTGGCCGCCCGAAATCATCCCGGACATGAGCTGCTGAACCTGCGGATTGTTCATTAGGTTTGACGCCATGCTCATGAAGCTGGGGTTGTTGAGCAGGCCGGCGATGTCAAAGCTGCCGACGCCTCCCGTGGGACTCGGCGTCTCTCTCAGCTTCAGCTCGGCTATCTTGAGGTTCGACTTGTAAGTCTCATTCTCAGGATCCAGCTCCAAGGCCTTCTTGTAGTAAGCCACGGCCTCGGTGTGCTTGTTCAAACTGGAGAGAGCGAGGCCCATCCTGCCGTAGGCTTTGCTGTAGGACGGGTCTATGCAGATGGCTCGCTCACAGTCCTGAACAGCACCCGTGTAGTTCCCGAGCTTGCTGTAGGCCGCAGCTCTGTTACAGAAGTAGACGGCGTTGGCCGGGTTCAGCTCGATGGCTTTCCCGTAGAAGTGCACGGCAGCTTCAAAGTTTTCTACCTTCATCTGCTCGTTTCCTTCGGTTTTGAGGCGCTCTGCCTCGGCTGAGTCCTCCTCTGAAGGCGGGGTCCGCTCGGGGCTCCTCAGGTCCTGCGGCACCTCCTTGCCTGCAGCAGCTGCTTCAAATATTTCCGGCAGAGTCTGAGGGAGGGCGAGGTCATGGTCTTCCACTGTCACCCCAAAAGCTGTCTCCAGGCACTGGATTGCAACTTCCAAGCTCTCCTGGGCATCGGACGAGAGCCCCCCGTGCCGGAGCTGGTCATGCAGGAACCGGATGATGGCGTAGGCCAGGCGCTTCTTGTTATCCATCTTCAGACAGGAAGAGACAATACCCTGGGGTTTTCAAGATTTAAAAACACAGACTCCCGGCAAGTAGGGGAGCCGAGCAGCGTCCTGCTTCCTTAACCTCGCGGGGAGCCCGGGGAGCCCGTCCTTCCACGCAGCGCGCTGCTCGGGAGCCGGTCCTCAGCCCCGATCCTTCCCGCCCTCGCGGCGCCGACACAAGGCCCCGGGTGGGGAAGACCTAACAGCCGCCGACCCCGCGGAAGCGCTCGCCTTGCGGGGGGGGGGGGGGGCTGCGGCTTTCACCCCCCCCCCGGACCCCCCACCCCCATCAGGCAGGGGCCGTGACGACGCCCGTTTCACAGCGGGGGAAACTGAGGCTCCGGGAAGCCCAGCGGCTGGCCGGGGGGGACAGCGGGCGCTGGGGCAGGACCCCGATCTGCGCCCCGACAACGGGGTCCCCGATTCCAAAGGACCGTGTTTCCGGGCGGCACGAGACACCCCACTGCAGGCGGGGCACCTTCACCTCCCGCTGGCCACTCCCCGGCTGCGAACCTGCATCTCCCCGGCCTGGGGTCCCGGGGGAGGTCGATCGGGGCCTGTCCGACGCCACCCTGCCTCAGTTTCCCCTCCGCGCCGCCCACTCACGGCGGCCAGCGGATCGCGCGGACTCCAGACCCAGACCAGCCTCTCCTTACGGGCCCTGGAGCCCGGGGAGCTCCCAGTCGCGCACCCCAACCCCAAGCCCGCCCGGCTCAGCGCTGGGGGTGGACCCCCCCCTATCCATTCATCTTTCGATGGACACCGAGGCTCCTTCCACAGTTTGGCTATTGTGGACATTGCTGCTAGAAACATCGGGGTGCAGGTATCCCGGCGTTTCATTGCATCTGAATCTTTGGGGTAAATCCCCAACAGTGCAATTGCTGGGTCATAGGGCAGGTCTATTTTTAACTCTTTGAGGAACCTCCATACAGTTTTCCAGAGTGGCTGCACCAGTTCACATTCCCACCAACAGTGTAAGAGGGTTCCCTTTTCTCCGCATCCTCTCCAACATTTGTTGTTTCCTGCCTTGTTAATTTTCCCCATTCTCACTGGTGTGAGGTGGTATCTCATTGTGGTTTTGATTTGTATTTCCCTGATGGCAAGTGATGCAGAGCATTTTCTCATGTGCATGTTGGCCATCTCTATGTCTTCGTCTGTGAGATTTCTGTTCATGTCTTTTGCCCATTTCATGATTGGATTGTTTGTTTCTTTGGTGTTGAGTTTAATAAGTTCTTTATAGATTTTGGAAACTAGCCCTTTATCTGATATGTTATTTGCAAATATCTTCTCCCATTCTGTAGGTTGTCTTTGAGTTTTGTTGACTGTATCCTTTGCTGTGCAAAAGCTTCTTATCTTGATGAAGTCCCAATAGTTCATTTTTGCTTTTGTTTCTTTTGCTTTCGTGGATGTATCTTGCAAGAAGTTATTGTGGCCAAGTTCAAAAAGGGTGTTGCCTGTGTTCTCCTCTAGGATTTTGATGGAATCTTGTCTCACATTTAGATCTTTCATCCATTTTGAGTTTATCTTTGTGTGGTGCAAGGGAGTGGTCTAGTTTCATTCTTCTGCATGTGGATGTCCAATTTTCCCAGCACCATTTATTGAAGAGACTGTATTTCTTCCAATGGATAGTCTTTCCTCCTTTATTGAGTATTAGTTGACCATAAAGTTCAGGGTTCACTTCTGGGTTCTCTATTCTGTTCCATTGATCTATGTGTCTGTTTTTGTGCCAGTACCACACTGTCTTGATGACCACAGATTTGTAATACAACCTGAAATCTGGCATTGTGATGCCCCCACATATGGTTTTCTTTTTTAAAATTCTCCTCGCTATTCGGGGTCTTTTCTGATTCCACACAAATCTTTTTTATTTTATTTTATTTTATTTATTTATGATAGGCACACAGTGAGAGAGAGAGAGGCAGAAACACAGGCAGGGAGGGAGAAGCAGGCTCCATGCACCGGGAGCCCGACGTGGGATTCGATCCTGGGTCTCCAGGATCGCGCCCTGGGCCAAAGGCAGGCGCCAAACCGCTGCGCCACCCAGGGATCCCTGATTCCACACAAATCTTAAAATAATTTGTTCTAACTCTCTGAAGAAAGTCCATGGTGTTTTGATAGGGATTGCGTTAAACGTGTAAATTGCCCTGGGTAACATTGACATTTTCACAATATTAATTCTGCCAATCCATGAGCATGGAATATTGTTCCATCTCTTTGTGTCTTCCTCAATTTCTTTCAGAAGTGTTCTATAGTTTTTAGGGTATAGATCCTTTACCTCTTTGGTTAGGTTTATTCCTAGGTATCTTATGCTTTTGGGTGCAATTGTAAATGGGATTGACTCCTTCATTTCTCTTTCTTCAGTCTCATTGTTAGTGTGTAGAAATGCCATTGATTTCTGGGCATTGATTTTGTATCCTGCCACGCTGCCAAATTGCTGTATGAGTTCTAGGAATCTTGGGGTGGGTCTTTTGGGTTTTCTACCAACAGGATCATGTCATCTGCGAAGAGGGAGAGTTTGACTTCTTCTTTTCCAGTTTGAATGCCTTTTATTTATTTATTTATTTATTTATTTATTTATTTATTTATTTATTTATTTTATTTTATTTTGTTGTCTGATTGCTGAGGCTAGGACTTCTAGTATTATGTTGAACAGCAATGTTGAGAGTGGACATCCCTGTCTTGTTCCTGATCTCAGGGGAAAGGCTCCCAGTGCTTCCCCATTGAGAATGATATTTGCTGTGGGCTTTTTGTAGATGGCTTTTAAGATGTTGAGAAATGTTCCCTCTATCCCTACACTCTGAAGAGTTTTGATCAGGAATGGATGCTGTACTATGTCAAATGCTTTCTCTGCATCTAATGAGAGTATCATATGGTTCTTGGGTTTTCTCTTGCTGATATGATGAATCACATTGATTGTTTTACGAGTGTTGAACCAGCCTTGTGTCCTGGGGATAAATCCTACTTGGTCATGGTGAATAATTTTCTTAATGTGCTGTTGGATCCTATTGGCTAGTATCTTGTTGAGAATTTTTGCATCCATGTTCATCAGGGATATTGGTCTGTAATTCTCCTTTTTGGTGGGGTCTTTGTCTGGTTTTGGAATTAAGGTGATGCTGGCTCATAGAATGAATTTGGAAGTACTCCATCTCTTTCTATCTTTCCAAACAGATTTAGTAGAATAGGTATGGTTTCTTCTTTAAACGTTTGATAGAATTCCCCTGGGAAGCCATCTGGCCCTGGACTTTTGTGTCTTGGGAGGTTTTTGATGACTGCTTCAATTTCCTCCCTGGTTATTGGCCTGTTCAGGTTTTCTATTTCTTCCTGCTCCAGTTTTGGTAGTTTGTGGCTTTCCAGGAATGCGTCCATTTCTTCTAGATTGCCTAATTTATTGGCGTAGAGCTGTTCATAATGTGTTTTTAAAATCGTTTGTATTTCCTTGGTGTTGGTAGTGATCTCTCCTTTCTCATTCATGATTTTATTAATTTGAGTCTTCTCTCTCTTCTTTTTAATAAGGTTGGCTAATGGTTTATCTATCTTATTAATTCTTTCAAAGAACCAACTCCTGGTTCTATTGATCTGTTCCACAGTTCTTCTGGTCTCAATTTCGGTGAGTTCTGCTTGAATTTTAATTAACTCTCTTCTTCTGCTGGGTGTAGGATCTATTTCCTGTTTTTTCTCTAGCTCCCTTATGTGTAAGGTTAGCTTTTGTATTTGAGTTCTTTCCAGTTTTTGAATGGATGCTTGTATTGTGATGTATTTCCCCCTCAGGACTGCTTTTGCTGCATCCCAAAGATTTTGAACGGTTGTATCTTCATTCTCATTAGTTTCCATGAATCTTTTTAATTCTTCCTTAATTTCCTGGTTGACCCTTTCATCTTTTAGCAGGATGGTCCTTAACCTCCACGTGTTTGATGTCCTTCCAAACTTCTTCTTGTGATTTAGTTCTAATTTCAAGGCATTATGGTGTGAGAATATGCAGGGAACGATCCCAATCTTTTGGTATCAGGTCAGACCCGATTTGTGACACAGTATGTTGTCTATTCTGGAGCAAGTTCCATGTGCACTTGAGAAGAATGTGTATTCAGTTGAGTTTGGATGTAAAGTTCTGTAGATATCTGTGAAATCCATCTGGTCCAGTGTATCATTTAAAGCTCTCGTTTCTTTGGAGATGTTGTGCTTAGAAGACCTATCGAGGGTAGAAAGAGCTAGATTGAAGTCACCAAGTATAAGTGTATTATTATCTAAGTATTTCTTCACTTTGGTTAATAATTCGTTTAAGTATTTGGCAGCTCCCACATTCGGGGCATATATATTGAGGATTGTTAAGTCCTCTTGCTGGATAGATCCTTTAAGTATGATATAGTGTCCCTCTTCGTCTCTCACTACAGTCTTCGGGGTAAATTTTAGTTTATCTGATATAAGGATGGCTACCCCTGCTTTCTTTTGAGAACCATTTGAATGGTAAATGGTTCTCCAACCTTTTATTTTCAGGTTGTAGGTGTCCTTCTGTCTAAAATGAGTCTCTTGTAGACAGCAAATAGATGGGTCCTGCTTTTTTATCCAGTCTGAAACCCTGCGCCTTTTGATGGGGTCATTAAGCCCGTTCACGTTCAGAGTTACTATTGACAGATATGAGTTTAGTGTCATCATGATATCTATTTAGTCCTTGTTTTTGTGGATTGTTCCACTGAACTTCTTCTTAAAGGGGAATTTTAAGAGTCCCCCTTAAAATTTCTTGCAGAGCTGGTTTGGAGGTCACATATTCTTTCAGTTCCTGCCTGTCTTGGAAGCTCTTTATCTCTCCTTCCATTTTGAATGAGAGCCTTGCTGGATAAAGTATTCTTGGTTGCATGTTCTTCTCATTTAGGACCCTGAATATATCCTGCCAGCCCTTTCTGGCCTGCCAGGTCTCTGTGGAGAGGTCTGCTGTTACCCTAATATTCCTCCCCATGAAAGTCAGGGACTTCTTGTCTCTTGCTGCTTTAAGGATCTTCTCTTTATCTTTGGAATTTGCAAGCTTCACTATTAGATGTCGAGGTGTTGAACGGTTTTTATTGATTTTAGGGGGGGATCTCTCTATTTCCTGGATCTGAATGCCTGTTTCCCTTCCCAGATTGGGAAAGTTTTC